CATTTACGTGTCGCTCTTCTGTACATTGTGCACGTGCATTTGTTTGCTGTATATTTCTTTGTGTCTATTTAAGACTGTTTCCTTTCGTCCGTTTCTTTCTCCCCAGTGTTTTAAACCGAACTCCAGTTCATCTCATCCATGAAATCATCCTGGTGGACGACTTCAGCAACGACGGTGAGCTGCAGCTACACACACACACACACACACACACACACACACACACACACACACACACACACACACAAACACACAGTCTCAGGAGCAGAAGTTTAGATTTACCTGAAAACAATAATATTCATTATTGGCACCGAATGAAAAAAACAAAAAGGCCCAAATATAAGATTCAAGATTAAAAAGCGTTTATGTGAATGAGTTCTGATGCGTGATGTAAATGAAAGCACGTGATCTCCACAGCGGAACTAAAGCGTTAACGTCCGGTCACCGTCTGATGAGCTTGATTTTTAAAAGTCGTGAATGAGCGGGTTTCTTTTCTGCTGCAGTCAGTTTTCCTTTACTGAAGCAGAAGGAGAGAAGGAGCCGCTGCCTCCTCCGGGTCAAAGGTCTCTGATGGAGGTTTTCATTCAGGGCCACGTAACTTTGACACAAGATTTCTTTGTTCCTGAAGCGTTTTTTCATCCAGTTCTTTTCATCTTTTCACCTCATAGATAATTTGTTTTGAATCCAGATTTAATATCAACTTATTTTCGGTGAATGATTCATATCCCAGCATCTGTTTCTGCCTCTTTTCCCTTTTTCTTTTCATTTTGACAGTTTCCACCAGAGCACGTTTCCAACACGTATTACAGCATTATTTAAAATAACATTTTAATGGAACTCAAAAATCCAGCGGGGAGCACACAGCCGGCTGCACCGCAACTAAACAACATGTCTGAGCCGTCAAACCGAAAACTGTCGTCCTGCTGCTGCCGAGCGTTTTAACAAGCTGCTAATTTCCCTGTAGAGATTTAGAGAATTTATAAAAAACATCACACAGCACGAGATATTCTGTTTTATATAATTCCATCAGTTTTACTTGATGCTGTTTTTCTTTTCCAGAAAGTGACTGTCAGCTTCTCACCAAACTGCCCAAAGTCAAATGTCTTCGCAACAACAAGAGAGAAGGTATGTGTGTGTGTGATCTCTGTGTGTGTGTGTGTGTGTGTGATCTCTATATGTGTGTGTGTGTGAATTTGCTTGTTTATGTTTACTAATGAGTTTACATTTGCATTTTCAGTGTGTACATTTGCATTTTTAATTATCCATACTTTGTTTGTTTGCATTTTTGCATACATTTGTCAGCGCTAGGTGTGTGTGTGTGTGTGTGTGTGTCTGTCTTTGTTCTCGTTGTCAGGACCAGCAGACCTCATGGGGACCGGAGCTCAGTCCTAATGAGGCTAACCTGAGCTCCCGGTTAACGTCGGGTCAGATGTGAGCTGTGGTTTAGTCATGAATTGGTAAACTCTTGTGGATCGGTTGAAATAAAAGGAAACAATAAGTAAATAGAAGAATGAAATGTTTTTTGAGGTCCAGCTCTATGTGACCATTCACAGCATGTAACTCACACACTAGTGGAAGCAAACGTCAGACGCCATTTTCCGCATGTTTTAGCAAGTCCACAATGAATGGAGCATTAATGCAAAGTCCAATGAAGGATAGCTGCGTAAAACTGTGACGGGAGCTGCGATCGACACGGAGCCCAGAGAGAGAGAGAGAGAGAGAGAGAGAGAGCGACAGTCCGTCATGAAACAAAAGTAACTGAAGAGAAAACAGAAATACCTGAAACCCCCCCAAAAAAAAAAACCTGCGTAAAGCAGCAAAATGTATAAATAACGACATCGAGTTTGGAGATTTAAAGCTTCAATCACACTGATGTTGTTTCTCAGTTCAATGACTGACGGAGTCGTGCTTCGTGTCTACGCTTGTCATTCTTGCTATGAAATCCATTTGGAGCTGCTTCCATGCTTTTAAATTTAGAAATGAGAGTGAAGGCCAAACACAAATTAACATGACAGCTTGACAATGTGAGCGGGTCGTGAGCGTTCTGGGGACTGAAAACGTTTTACGGCACCAAAAAAAGGGATTAATCCAATTCGTCAGCAGAAGATCCCGCTTCAATGTTCAGGGTCAGGAGTTAAAAACGATAATGGAGGAGTAATTTTTATTTATGTTCATCAATTTAACCTGGTGCACCTCAGTCTGTGGTGCATCCTCTCCACAGAACTGACTCTTATTATGTTTAAAAGTAGATGAATTTGTCTTTTGTCAGATTTGAAATAACTTTAACCGTTTTAATATGAGGACATAATTTGACCCCAGGGAGAATCCTGATAAGTAAGAAATTACAAAATTGACCATTTTCAAAAAGCTCAACTTGTGAAAGCTGCACGTTGCACCTGAACTATAATTTCCTTACAGAACGCGATCACGCTGTGTCAAACCCTGCGACAGCGCCGTAAGTACAGCAGCGCGTCAGTGCTTCTTACTCCTGCAACAGAATTCTGTAACGTACCTTTTGTACATAACACAATACTTGCAATTTTAAAGCCATTTCAGATTATAATTGTTGAAAATGCCGCAGCGGGTGTTCTGCTCAGTGTGGACGTTCCCTCACAGCAGCCCCTGCACCTGAGCGCCATCCGCTCTGCACGCATCAGATTATCGTCTCACTCGGACGGTTTTCTGCGGCCGGAGTTCAAACGGCGCCGCGGTCACCAGAGCTCGAGCGGAAAACACTTGAACGCTCGTCGTTGGCTCGGCTGAGAGCTTTTTACACCTCCTCGTCTTTTATAGTCATTTCCTTCCTCCTCTCTCTCTTTGTATAACCACAGCAACACTTGTCCTACATAATGTCACTGATGGATTTCATTATCACACACACACACACACACACTCAGGGTTCATTCGTTTGGCTTGTTAACAGTTTATGGCTTCAGGCCTCCTGACTTGATCGTGTGTTTAATGCCCATAAAAACTCACCAGGCTGATGGTGTCTGTGCTCGGTCACATACGATAAGATGTTTCCTGTCAGTCTCCGTGCGTCCACACAGAGTCCGACAGCTTGTGGACAAACTTGAAACATCTCCAGCTCGGTTGGTTCCCTCCTCACCATCTTTTTACGTCGAAGTGCAGATTGGTCCAGCGTGTGCGTCTTCAGGCAGAGCGAGACGGGAGCTAAGACCAAGTGTTTGAGACAGAGGCTGAAAAGAGGAGCAGCAGCAGCGATGGACAGTCTGAGGAGAGTGATTCTGAACATTAGAGCATTTAAACAATAAACAACATTATCGTCAAAGTGCTTGAACAGTTATTAAAAACCAGATCTTTCTTAAACTTGTGGAGGAAGAATTAAAGTGGCAGTAGAAACACCTGAGACAGAGTTTGGTTTCTAGTTTGTCCTGTTGAGTCATTAATCTCATCACTCGCCTCCGGACTTCAGCACCGAGCGGACCGTCCTCACTTTTAAGGTCGAACGCAGCTGTGATAGGTGGAGATAGTTATCAAGTTATCAGTGCAGATTAACACTGTCCCCTGTACTCAGCCCGTCCTGCAGTGTGTGTGTGTGTGTGTGTGTGTGTGTGTGTGTGTCTGTGTGTGTGTGTCTGTGTGTCCATCCATCCAGAAAATAAAGCCTTATTGAGGATGAAATGGGATTTTTAATTGGCTGAGCCTTGGCCTAACACGGCCGCGTGAAACTTCACAGCCCCTCGTACAATGTCACCGACACACACACACACACACTCACAATGGACACAATGCACAGTCACTACAAACACACACACACACTCACACACACACACACACACTATGTCTTCATGTCAGGGAGTATTGATTAGACCATTTAGTCCAAATAGAAGAGAACACTGGCCCTCATCAGGGAGACCTCCCTAACAGGCTCATTCTCACACACACACACACGCACAGTTTCTGCAACACAACTGCAATCAGCTGACACACACATTTACTCCAGCTAACCTCCACTCCCACCACCCCCCCCCTCACTCTCTCTCTCTCTCTCTCTTTAGAAAAATCGAGACACGCTCGCACATGCAGAGTGTGATGGGCCTGTTAAAAGGTTGTGTCCATGTCTGACAGCGCCTTTAAGAGCCCTGCATCGATCCCCCCCTTTGCTGACTGACTGAGGGGGAGAGTGAGGAGGAGGAGGGGGGTGGGGGAGGCAGAGTCAATGTCAATGAGTCGAGCAAGGCACTAACGCTGCCGAGGTTCAGGGTTCCATTGCCTGCGAACACTCTGTCGCTCTGCACAGTGAAGTCGTGTCCGTCCACTCAGCCTGTGTGTGTGTTTGGAGGCTGCGAGTGTGTGTAACTGATAGTCACAGCTCGTGAGCGTGAAAGTTGATTTATACTCCGTCTTATCCGATCTGCCGCCCTGAGAGGAATCAATTTCACCAGGCAATGTGGGAGATTTGAATTCAGCAGAGAGCGGCTCTGAGGCCGTGTGTTCGATACCAGCTGTTCAGGGTTTACCTCTCGCCCCGGGGTCGCGAACGAGACGCCTTGGCTTCTTCACGTTTAGACGTCATGTCGTTCTTTGTACATTAAAACAGCTGATGGAATAATTCTCACAGGTGTTAAACCAACACGCGTCTCTGTTCGTGTGTCAGGTCTGATCAGGTCCAGGGTGCGAGGGGCCGATGCTGCGAGGGCCGGGGTCCTGACCTTCCTGGACAGTCACTGTGAGGTCAACAAGGACTGGCTGCCTCCGCTCCTGCAGAGGATCAAACAGGTGACGACGACAAAACCAACGTGTGTGTGTGTGTGTGTGTGTGTGTGTGTGTGTGTCACTTGTCGAGGTGAAATATCGCCATGAGAGAAAGTAGCTGTCGGTCTGATTGCCTCTCATTAAGAAATAAGTGCTGCACTCTCTCCTTCACCCCTCTCCTCCCCTCGGCTCGTCTCCTTCTCTTGTTTCGTCTCCTCGTCCTTCCCTCTTCCTACCACTCGTCACTTCATCCTCCCCTTTCTCACCTTGCCTTCCTCCTGTCCCCTCATCCTCTGTCCTTACCTTCCCCTCTCCTCTTTTTTTCCCTCTCTTCACACACCCTCTGTCTGTCCTCCAGTGTCATCGTTTCCTCTTCTCGAATCACGTCTCTCTTCAACTCGTCCTTTCTCCTCTTTCCCTCCGTACCACCTCTCTATCTCTCATCTCTTCCAATTCCCCCTGCTCTCTTATTTGCTCTCGCCCTCCCACCCGCTGTCAGCTCCCTTCTCCTCATCATTTCTCCCCAATAACCTTCTGCACCTCCTTTCTTTCTCTCTCCTTTCACACCATCTTTCCCCTTTCATTTTCCCAGCTGTCCCCTCCTGCTCCGATGCATCAAGTCAACAGTTGTTTCTGCTGATATTAAAGACCTGTGATCTCCATCACCACAGCAGCGATCGATACGCAAAACCACCACAGAGCCTGTTTCTGCAGCTGCACCAACATATCATCCATATTCATACTCACGGTGTGTGTGTGTGAGTGTGTGTGTGTGTGTGTGTGAGTCATTTGTCACTGTCTGTCCGCTCACTTTATAGTCATATATTTAGATTTAAATGTATGAGGTATCGATCCAGGTAAACACACACACACACACACATTGTCATGGAGCTAAAGTTCTGCTCAACTTCCAGATGAACTTCACTTCTACTTTCTGATTCCATCCACGCGTCGTATTTTTAACTGTGCATGTTATAAACTACATTTGTCTCCTCCCATGCAAACAACTTTGTTAATCCCACTGACGGCAATTCATCTGGAACGGATTGTGTAGATCGAACATACGCAGACAGATGCAATGGAGCTGAACGACAAAGTTAATGACAATATAAAGTTAAGAAATGTAAACAAGGGTTCAAGAATTTTAAAGATTGCAGAAGGATAAATTATTTGAGGAGCGTAGTATTAGTTAGTAAAACGTGACGACAGAGTACATTTTGTTTTAGTTTTGATCTTTGACGCGATTTTCTATTTTTTGTGCGTTCAGGAAGAATTCCTTCTCTTGTTGATCGTTGTCATGACGAATGTTTCTGTCTCCGTTTTTCATTTGATCGATTTCGTCTAAACTCTGCAGCAAACGTCAAGAAGTGAACCCCATCATTCTAAAAATATAAAGAACTCCAGCTCCACTGCGTTTTCTCCAGGTCCATATTTTATCATCTCAGGAAGCAGTGCCACTGCAGCTCTGGCTCGCAGACGCTCTCCGTGCACGCCCGCCGTGCACGCCCGCCGTGCACGCTCTCCGTGCTCCCTCTCTGCTCCTGTAATTGGTCTGTTCCCCGTTTCTTTATTCTGGGAATGAGGCTGGAGATTCTGCAGGTGAAAGTCTTTTCTCTGTTAATCCACGAGGGCGTAATATTCTTATCAGAGTTAAAACATGAAGCATATCACTCACTCACTGAAACCACTTTAACGTTTCCCAGGAACGAGCCATCGGATATTAGGAATAAAAGACACAGGTTCACTTTTCATTGTGAGGGTTTTGACTTCATTTTTAGTTTATATGTGTAATAGTTGGTAAATGGATTATATTTATATACTTTCACACACACACTCACTCAACGCTTCCATCTGTGTCCATCAGTCATAAATGTCAATATGACTTGTAATAACATCCTGTCGTGATCACAACCATCGCTAATCAACCAGCGATGGGCGGGGATGACGCCGGTTGTTTTCACCGTCGCTCCTCCTCCTGCGCTCCATCGTTAAACGTCTTTTCAAAAAAAAAAAGAAAACACATAAGAAATGGCTGAAATTAAGAAATCGTTCCCAAGCGATTTGAGAATAACATTCATCCAATTACAACCGTAATGTCGCGGCTGCCTCGCCCTGAGTGCTGCACACTGTCATTACCCTAACAGCCATTAAAGCAGATGCAGTGCTTTGTAATGCGGCTGGAGCTGTAGAGGGATGCAGGCTGCGTCCCCTTGCACTGACCCTGCAGCTAATGGTCCAGAACCGCTCCACCTGCTCTGTAATATCACCGGCTGAAGACGCATCCAGCCATTTGGCCAAACTAATAGAGGGACACTCAATGATTTAGCAGCGAGCTCAAGTCTGGAATGTGTGTGTGTGTTGTACTTTTATCCTTGTAACGAGCAAATGGTGCCATCAAGGTAGAAATATGAGGGGGAATACAGGTGCAGACATTTTGCCAGTTTTCTAAATGCTAAGGGTTTAATTTAAGGGTTAAAGAGGGAGTAACTAAGCTAAATCCACGAGAGTCATGTGGCCTCATGGACGATTAAACAAGGTTGAGGATATTTTGCAGTGTTGATACTCGTTATGTTCTCATTTCACTGTGTGTGTGATGTGTATTTTATTATGAACGTGCAAATTAGAGCTAAAGGATTTAATGACGAGTCACAAATATTAAGCATCACTTTGTTACTCACTTCATGTGCTTATATCCTGATTCAAATGCCCCTGAAGTTACTTTCTCGATGATTGTCGATCGATTGAAAACGCTAACGTACTGAGTCACTGAAGAATTTAATGTGCTTGTTAACTCTAGTTACAGCTAAATATCATTTTGAACATTTGCTTATTTAAAACATTTGTAAAAATGTCCCTGCTCCGTCCTTTACTTCTGCTTTCAACGGAATAATTCAGTGTTTCCTGTTTGCACATGGCTGAACAGTCTGACATTAATGTGAGGAAAGTGAATAAAGTGGAGTTGAAGCAGAGGCAGAGGCAGAGGTCACTCTCACCTCACTTAATGTGCATGATTGCTGTTGAATGACTTAAATTCCTTTTAATGTGCTTCAGTATAATGACCTTGGAATATTCAATCACACACATGTGCACACGCACGGGAATGAAAATCTCCTCTAGTGGAACATAATTTGATCTGCTCGCAGGAACACCTCGATCTTTCTTCGCCCTTTATGTCGCATTTATTCTCGAAACCAACGCGATCGTCTGTGTTGTTTTTTGTGCTTGTGTCCAGGACCCAACCCGTGTGGTCAGCCCGGTCATCGACATCATCAACATGGACACGTTTGCCTACGTGGCGGCCTCGGCTGATCTCCGTGGAGGTATGGAAATGCTTTTTTTTTTTTTCCATCTACAGTCTGGGGAAATAAAAAATGGCTCTGAGGCACATTCCAGGGTTTTTTTTTTGATGACAGTGAAAAAGCCCAGAGGGTTCTTTCTTCTTGAAGAAGCTCTTCAAGATGAGTTCATGAACCTTCTCTCTCTGTGTGAACCTCAGGATGCGTTCGAGTTCTATGAAAAATCGACCTTCAGGATCCCTGAGACACATTAAGCTGTTTTACTTTTTGAAATCAGATTTGATCTTTGATGCAGAAATACAAAAAATGTCCAGACTGCGTTTGTGCAATGTTGTAACTTTGTAAGAGCAGCTTTTATATTTCATCTGATAATCTGAAGATCAATCTTAAGTGTTGGTTAAGTAAATAAATCATCAAAATCCCTTTCAAAAGGAAAAATTATAGTTTGGTTTCTAGCCTTTATGTCGACTCCAGCTCCGCTCAACCTTTTAAGGATAATTGGTGCAGATCTGTAATCGCAGTGGAAGTGGAGGACGCAGGTTCTGTAACTATCCTCTGATTCAGCGAGCGACCGGTGTTGTAGGACGAGGACTCTGAGGAGAGCTTGTTAAGATTCTGTGGGTCCAGAGGAGCTCAGACCAATTGACCAGATGATGCACCAGAGCAACACACAGCCATGTTCTCCACTCGTCTCCGTCGTCCCTCGCTCTTTCTGCAGCCAATCTCCCCAAAGAGCCTCATCATCCCTCTCTCTTTCCATTAGCCTGTCTTCTTCCAATCTTCTTCTCTTGGTAACAGCAGTCTGCCAATCAATGCTGATAATAGCCCTGTCCACCTCTCTCTCTCTC